TGTTGAACAATGAGAACACATGGACACAGGGAGGGGAACACTACACACTGGGGTCAGTTGGGGGGAAATAGGGGAGGGACAGTGGGGGGTGGGGAGCTGGGGAGAGATAGCAAGGAGAGAAATGCCAGATGTAGGTGATGGGGAGGAAGGCAGCAAATCACACTGCCACGTGTGTACGTATGCAACAATTTTGCATGTTCTTCACATGTACCCCAAAACCTAAAATGCAATAAAATAAATAAATGGGGAAAAAAAAAGATTTCCTGGACAAGAAGAAAAAAAAAAGACTTGGGAAATATTAATAGAAAGATAAAAATTAAAACCATGATTGGATGTAAGATTGCTACTAGAGATGGTAAAGAATGAGAAGTGGCCAAGGGCAGAGATGCAGAGAATAGCAACATTTAAATGAAAAGTAGAGGAAAAGTAGTTCACCAATAAAACTGTGGCAGGAAAGCCAGAGATGTCAAAGAAGAAGAACCGGTTAGGTCTGACATGGAAGCCATCAGAGAGTGTCAAGAAAGGAGAGGTTGAAAACATCCATGCTGCAAAGAGCGCACACAAAAACAAACAAGAAGTGCTCACTACACATTTTCACCTAAGAAAAAAGATATTTTGATTTTGTTGAGAAGTGTTAAGTGGCTGGAGGGACTGGGAGCCAAACTACCTTTGAGTAAGGACAAGATTCCCTAAAATGTGGTAACGCAATACTGGGAGAACACTTCAGACATTTCCTGGACAGCTTGAAAAAGAATCCTTTCTTCAGTTGTCCATAGGCAGATAATAGGCAACTTCATAGACTTTCATTCATATGTAAGACTAGGGGTTCCTTATAAATAACACATTGGTAAAATTATTAATTATTAAGAATTATTAAGAATTACCAAAAATGTGGTTTTCATAATTGAAATCTTGCATGTTATTGAGGTTTGCTGAAGACCCCAAGTCAGTTTTCTACTAACTGGCAATAGTGAAGAGACCCTATTTTGTATGTATACACATATATATTTGAAGAGCTCCCAATTTTCAAGAATGATTTAAAAAAATCAGTTTCTTACCAGTGTGGTCTTGAATAACTCATTCATATTTTGACATATAATTTCTCACTTACTGGATTTTTTTAAAAAGAGACTACTAAGCTTTCTACTTTATCTGGAGCCTGTGTTACCTCTTTTCCTTCATTTTCACTTTACTCCCCTCATCTTTATCCCTAACCATGCTGACTTGCTATTCCTCAAACATGGAAAGCCCACTCCCACCTGGGGACCTTTGTATTAGATATTCCCTTTGGCCTGGAATACTCAAAGACAGCTGCATTGTCAGCCTTTATGCCTCCATCTAAAATGCACTCAAAAGTCATCTTCATAGGGACATATGGCCACTCAATTTATACCTGCAAGCCCCAGGCCTATTCGCTATTCTGAACTCACTATCATGCTTTCCTGTTTTTTTTTTCTCCAAAACATTTATTATCTTTAAATATTATTTATTTTTAAATTTTATTTTCCTACTAGAATGAAAACATCATAAGCTAAAAAAAAATCCTGTTTTTGTTTTTGATGTCTGAGGTGATAGGAGAGTACCTAGCACAGAGCAGGTATTCATCAGATGAATGAATGAACTTACACGGTTATGACAAAAAAAAGGAAAAAGAGTAGGGATTATGAGCTACAGAGTCTTTTGCTTCTGCTTAAGTTATCTAAAATGTTTCAGGTGCAATAATGAGGAACTTGATAGGATATTAGGAAAATAGTACTAGTGAGGTGAAAGAAAACGTTAAGGCAATATCAGGGTAGGGGTGCACTGGATAAAGGGAGTTTGTCTTAAAGATCAGAGAGAGACCATCCTGGTCAACATGGTGAAACCCCGTCTCTACTAAAAATAGAAAAAAATTAGCTGGGCATGGTGTCGCGTGCCTGTAATCCCAGCTACTCAGGAGGCTGAGGCAGGAGAATTGCCTGAACCCAAGAAGCGGAGGTTGCGGTGAGCTGAGATCACACCATTGCACTCCAGCCTGGGTAACGAGAGAAACTCCGTCTCAAAAAAAAAAAAAAAAAGATCAGAGAGAGAGATTTGAGCATGTTTAAATAATGATGGAAGAGAGTAAGAAAAAGAGGGTGATATGGTTTGGCTGTGTCTCCACCTAAATCTCATCATGATCAATTCGCATAATCCCCACCTGCTGTAGGAGGGGCTAGGTGGAGATAATTGACTCATGGGGGTGGTTCCCCCCATCCTGTTCTCTTGATAGTGAGTTCTCATGAGTCTGATGGTTTTAAAAGGGGCTTCCCCTTTCGCTGGGCACTCATTCTCTCTCCTGCCACCGTGTGAAGAAGGACATGTTTGCATTCCCTTCTGCTATGATTGTAAGTTTCCTGAGGCCTCCCCAGCCATGGAGAACTATGAGCCAATTAAACCTCTTCCCTTTATAAGTTACCCCATCTTGGGTATGTCTTTATTAGCAGCATGAGAACAGACTAATACAGAGGGTAACTAAGATAGGGCATAAAGTAGAAAGAAGAGGTTTGAGAATGGAAAAGTGAGGATAAAATACTATCTGTTTAGAAAATGTTGAGCTTGAGGTATAAAAATTATGTATAAGCAGAGATACCCAATAGATGATTGCATAAGTGGCAAAAACTTGAGAAAAAAGCTCAAAATAATAGGGCTTTAAAGTTTATGAGCAGGGAGCTGGAGCAGTCTATGTATACATACTGAAAATTATTCTGTGAACATTTTGCTTACCTGATCTAGGTTTGAAAGACTGTTCGGATCTTGACTGAGAGCTTGGTACTGGCTTCTGAGCCTGTCACCTGCTGCAATTCTTCTGAACTTCTTGAGATCCACTACGTATAAAGCACTGCAAAAATGAATACTTCTTGATAGCCTATTTTTATGTAGCTTTAGTTTTATTTTCCCCCAGTGGATGACTACAGTGATGGTATTAACTATAGATATCCTAGGATCTAATAACAACACTTTTATAAATTTGCTCCTAATGTCTAATACTGTTTCCAAGGGGTTTTAAGTTTGTTTTAATTTTGGTAGAACCCATAATCTTTTGGGGTCACCCCAAGCGTTTCCAAGTTGTCATGAAACTCATGGCCTTACAAAAGGCTATGAGCCTTTGAAGAAAGAATCTTAATTTTATTTGACAAGCCAAGTTTAAATCTTCTGGAGTAGTTAGGAGCCATATTATTGGGTTTAACTAGCTCAGTTACACACTAGCAGGGTAAGCCCGGGCAAGTTACATAAATGCTGTATGCCTAAGTTTCCACATACACAAAATGAAGATAACAGTATCTCAAAAGACTGTCATAAAGATTTTATAATATATGTAAAGACTTACAAGAGTGGCATGAAATAAACACTATGTAATTGGTTGGTTTTATTGTGTAATTTTAAAGAAAATGGAAAGTTGTAATTGAATATATTATTTACTTACTAAATGGTAAGGGTATGACTTTTCTTACCTGATATGGTATTTCCTTCTTAAAAGATGTGATGCCCAGTATCCTGTTTTCCAGAAACGATATCCATCCATTTCCCTGCGGCTATCACAAAATGGAGTATACCCATAAGGAGCTCCATCCAGATCAAAATCTCGAAGTTCTTTTAGATCATGTCTTACAATCTAAATAATTAAAATAGAGTCTTTGATAAAGACTGTAAAATAACAAACCTTTTTAATGGGAATCTCAAATCATTATTACCCTATTATAGAAATCCAAAGAGCTTTCATGTAGTATAAATTTAGTGAATTTAACACTTATTCCTCTTGTCCTTACAGGTTAAAAGTAAATTAAAATTTATATTCTTAGTCTTTTAAGATGGTGGTCTCACCAATAAGAAAATTTTGTCATGTCATTTATAAACAAGGCATTTAATGTATCAGACATTTGGGGAAGGGATTAAATATTACATACTGCAGAGCTCTTAGTTTCTTAAATTAATAATTTGTATTATTAATTTTGAATTAGTAATACAAAATAATGACAAATCTCCATTATTGTATATTTGCAAATATAAGTTTAAATCATAAATAAAAATCTCTCAATTACTCTAAATAGCTTGAATAAAAGAATATCAATTTATTTTTTAATAGACTCAAACCTCCTAGAAAAATATTAGTGTACATATTGAAGGAAAGGTAGGAGAAAGAATCACATTAGATATTATATGTGGGGCTAAGATGGGAGGATTGTTTGAGGCCAGGAGTTCGAGACTAGACTGGGCAACATAGTGAGATCCAGTCTGGTCTCTACAAAAAAATTTTAAAAATTAGCTAGGCATGGTGGTGTGCACCTGGAGTTCCAGCTACTAGGATGCTGAGGTAGGAGGATGGCTTGAACCCAGGAGTCTGAGGCTGCAGTAAGCTATGACTGTGGCACTGCACTTCAGCCTGGATGACAGAGTGAAATCCTGTCTCTTTAAAAAAAAAAAAAACTATGTTTACAAATGCTTACTTCATCGTTTCCACTTACCTATTTTCTTAGTTTTCATTGTAATATTTCATATTTATCAATTTGGAATAGAGTAGAAAAATAGCAAGAGTTTAGCATATGAGTAAATTCTAATATAGCACTTAAAAAGATACTTTTTGTTTCACATAAATTCTAACTTATGCATTTAATTTATATTTCCATTTACATACTACTGTTTTTCTTAGAAATTCGGTACATTTTCAAATATGTTTTCCCACTAATGATTCAAAAGCAATGCGAGGGAAAAAGGAAAAGTCATAATTTTTGGACATATAAATTTTAAAAGCAGAGGGCCTTAGTTTTTTTGGCCAAATGTATTTGATTGTATTTTTATTTTTAGAGATAGGGTCTCACTCTGTCACCCAGGCTGGGGTGCAGTGGCATGATTATAGCTCACTGTGACCTCGAATTGCTTGGCTCAAACTTTCTTCACCTCCTTGGCCTCCCAAAGTGCTGGGACTAGAGGCATTAAGTTGGCCAAATTTAAAATGCTCTTTTCCTTAAATGGTAGAGTGATGAGAATTTGGTTATTGGTTGAATGGGAAAGGATGCTGTTGCAGGCGGAAGAATGAGAGTTACATGTAACTGCTAACTCTTCTAGCAACAAGAAATTCCAAATATCAGCTCATATTCACAGGAACTTATTTAACTACTCTTATTATGACTAATGTAAGCATTTTACTTTTAATTCTCAAACTTAAAAAACTACTACTTGAGAGAAAACCTCTATGTCCGAAATGATAAATGGTACTTCTTACAATACCTTCAATTTTCCCCTAGAATTCTCACTTTTTGTTTTTAAAGGCACTTTGCTTATATATCACAATCTCATCTTAAGCACAATAATGAAGATAATAAACATGACCAACATGAATTAATTTCCTATATTAAGATAGAAGCATAAAAAATGTTTGAGTATTACTAAAAACTAGTTAATTTTATTACCTGGTCAGCATCAACAAAAATGATTTTGTCCACTGCTAGTGGGAAAAGAACATCAAGAAAAAGAATTTTGTAACCCCAAATAATCCTTTGTTTTTCAGTCTGTTGATGAAGCCAGCGGGGCCACCTATATTGAACTAGTTCATACTGGAATCCATATTCCTTAGCCATGTGAGGAATTACTTCCTAAAAACACACACAAATCAAACAGTATGTTTAAGGGAAAGTGGTTTTAAGAGAAAAAAAATTAACATTAAAAAGGTAGAGTGTATTATAAATTGTTATAAACTAATTGGCAAGTTGTCGAAATACTACAACATACCTATTAATGAGATATATGAAAATGCTAACAAATATGAAAACACAAGTACAAATAAAACTATAAAATTTAAATAGTTTAAATTATAAATAAGTCATTAAAAATAAATGCACTAATATTATTTACCAAGCTTATTTGGCTTAAGAAAATTGACTAAAATAAAGCCTCTGGATCTTGCAACACCTACATATCAAATAGTTCCTGTATTTGTCAACAGGCTGGTTGGTCAGAGATGTAAAGATGAAGAGCGGATACCAAAAACACAAACTAAGTTCTAAACTTATAAAACAGATTCTATACAGGAGTTTCATGTTTGAGATATATCATAATTTAATTCAAAGATCTAAAATACAAAGTAGTGTTTATGGCCTGAATATTTCATATTGATTCAGCATCTTATACGATTAGAAGTAGCTTATTTCCGGTTTAAAGCAGAAGCAGTTAATGAAATACACTGTTGGTTAAATTTAGTTCAAGAACTCACTATTGAAAGGGAGAATAGAAAAGGAGTTGGAAAAGATGAATTAGCAAATAGAGAATTTGTGTTTTACCACTAGATTCTTATTTGAAACTAGTTGCTAGTTATATGTTTAATTTTTTTCTCTGATTTTGTAAGAACAATGTAGATTTAAAATATGTTTTTTTAAATGCAAGAAGCACCAATTTTATCTGTGAAATGAAATCTTGAAATTTTGGCTAGAACAGCTGCTAGGAGTCATTATTTTGGTTTCAAAACAAAACAAAACATTCAGATAAATTAGAAAAAATATTTTTTTTCTTTCATCAAATATGCGTTAAAATATGGTATTTCTTTTGGCCATGCAGTGGAACAAGACTTTCTAATCCAGACATAGCACTATTATTCTGTTGAATAATATCTTTTCCTGATAAGAGAATCTTTAGATTTTTCTATCTCAGTTTATGTGGGATTAAATCCTCCCTTATTCAGTGTCTGACTACTAGGATAATATGTTAAAAATTAGGAAAATAACATAACTTCTTTTCTATACTTATGGGTTCTTTACCTGTTTTTTTTTTTTTTTTTTTTTTTTTTTTTTTTTTTTTTTTTTTTTTTTTTTTTTTTTTTTTTTTTTTTTTTTTTTTTTTTTTTTTTTTTTNTTTTTTTTTTTTTTTTTTTTTTTTTTTTTTTTTTTTTTTTTTTTTTTTGTCTACTGTCAAATGAGCACAGGAGGACACTGTTGGTGGAAATCTTAGTTTCTAATTAGCTGTTTCATCTCAGGCCTGTTATAAAGGATGATTCTTGCTCAGAGAAAGGTATGGCCCTTCACCCTATCTCCCAGGAGGTATCCTCTACCATTGGAATTTTCTGCCTAATGAGAATGCCTATGTTTACCCGCTGATTTTGGGTCCTTTTGCTATAATAAACTGTAACTGTGAGTATAGCTGTTTTTTGGAATTCTATGAATCCTTCTAGCAAGTTGCTGAATCTAAAGGTGGTTTCTCAACTGTGCAGGCTAGTTACATACTTTTTGAATCTTGGTTTTCACATCACATGGGATTGTTTTTAAAACGACTGAATGTCAGTTAAACACTTGGCATGATGCCTAGAAATATTATGGAATAAAACCATGCTTGGCTAGTTTTATTTCTGCTTTTCCCACTGCTTTTGGTCTAGAAAACAAACTCCTTTGAAATGCTATTGAATGAGATACCAAATTGCTGTTGAGTCACTAAATTTCATGGAGTTTGATTATGCTGTGGTGAGAATAGGAAGAAACAAGAGTATACTTTGTAGCAGGAGGGTGGGGCTAAGGAAAGGGTGATAGATGTTGATCACCTGAAATCTTCTGAATGTAATACGCCTCAGATCATGGTGCCCAGCAATCAATACGCTACACAGATGAAAGAGCTTTTTTGTTTTCAGTACTATAAAACTATTTTCTATGGTACAGTCTTTGTATTTTCTTGATACTACTACTGCTTCTGCTATCTTTGCAAAATGACAGAATCCATTTTTTAATTAAAAATCTGTATATATTCTCAATTGTCGAATTGTATTTAATTATTCATTATCTTGAAAAACTATTAGTCAGTCTGATTTTGATTTTACTTAAAAATATAGTCTTCTACTGTCCTCTCCTTTAAACATCTCTAAATTAAAAATGCACAGAATTTTTCCTAAGCTAGGTAATACTAAATACCCTTTCAAAATTTATTAAAAATAGTATTTAAAATATACAATTCAAAAGCTCATTCTGAAAAGAGAAATGTCATATTAACTTACAATGACACAAATAATCTACTATTTAAACATTAACCATTCTACAAAAAGAGCTATGTACTTACTTTAAATGTTGGTGAGAGATAATTTTTTAGAAACCAGAACTTCACTGGTGTTTTGGTGTTACGTAAAACAGAAAGCATCATAATTCTGCATAAAAGAATATTAAACCCAATATACATTAGCATTAACAGTTCATATTACTTTTTAAATGTTGAAATGTTTAATTTTAATTTTTTAATTTTACTTTAGTTCTGGGATATATGTGCAGAACATGCAGGTTTGTCATACAGATATTTTTAAAAGTTTTAAAAATAATTGAAGGTATGAATTCGAAGGTTTTCACAATGAAATGTTAAGAAATAAACCAAAATACGGTTTATCAAGTATGTAATGTGTAAGGATGAATACATATATATCATAGTAACTTCATCTGGTCCCAGTTGCCTATGACTGTGTGATTAAGTCTACAAACCCTGAAGAGCTGAATGATCTGTCTATATTGACGAATTCACTGGATGAGTAATTCGGTTTGCTAACCTAAACCTCTGAATGGAAAGGATACAAATTTATCTAAAGTTCCAATTTAATATATCAATGCTATAAGTCAAATATTTGAGTCATTCTCTGTGACCTTTCTATATAAACTGTTTAAAAATAGCCTTCTGTACTTTGCAATAGGTATTTCTCCTCTTACCCCCTTCCTTTTTATAAAACAAATTATTATTCAATGGAAAAAGACAATTTACCACATACATACATATATATGTATTCTCTTACCTGTCATTTACAAAATATCTATTTGCAGTTTTGAAGAAAGCTGTCTAGTCATGTGCAGAAAGCAGAAGCTGGATCTCTTTCTGACATCTTACACTAAAATTAACTCCAGTTAGATTAAAGACTTAAACATAAGGCCTAATACCATAAAAACCCTAGAAGGAAACCTAGGCAAACCATTAAGGACATAGGCATAGGCAATGACTTTATGACTAAAACACCAAAAGCATTGGCAACAAAAGCCAAAATAGACAAATGGGATCTCATTAAACTCCAGAGCTTCTGCATAGCAAAAGAAACAATCATTAGAGTGAACCGGCAACCAACAGAATGGAAAAAAATTTTTGCAATCTACCCATCTGACAAAGAGTTAATATCCAGAATCTACAAAGAACTAAAACAGATTTATAGGAAAAACAAACAAACAAACCCATTCAAAAGTTGGCAAAGGATATGAACAGACATTTTTCAAAAGAAGACATTTATGAGGCCAACAAACATATGAAAACATGCTCATCATCACTGGTAATTAGAGAAACGAAAATTAAAACCACATTGAGATATCATCTCACGCCAGTTAGAATGGCGATCATTAAAAAATCTGGAGACAACAGATGCTGGAGAGGATGTGGAGAAATAGGAACACTTTTACACTGTTGGTGAGAGTGTAAATTAGTTCAACCATTGTGGAAGACAGTGTGGCTATTCCTCAAGGACCTAGAAATAGAAATTCCATTTGACCCAGCAATCCCATTACTGGGTATATATCCAAAGGATTATAAATTGTTCTATTATAAAGACATAAGCAAACGTATGTTCACTGCAGCACTGTTTACAATAGCAAAGACCTGGAACCAACCCAAATGCCCACCGATGATAGATTGGACAAGGAAAATGTGGCACATACACATCATGGAATACTATGCAGCCATAAAAATTATGAGTTTGTGTCCTTTGTAGGGACATAGGTGAATCTGGAAACCATCATTCTCAGCAAGCTGACCCAAGAACAGAAAATAAAACACTGCATGTTTTCGCTTACAGGTGGGTAATGAACAATGAGAACACATGGACACAGGGAGGTGAGCATCACACACTGGGGTCTGTTGGGAGGGAAGAGGGGAGGGACAGCGGGGGGAAGGGAGGTTGGGGAGGGATAACATGGGGAGAAATGCCAGATACAGGTGACGGGGGGGATGGAGGCAGCAAATCACTTTGCCACGTAGGTACCTATACAGCAATCCTGCATATTATTCACATGTAACCCAGAAACTAAAGTGCAATAAAATATATAAAGAAAACCAATATTCCAAATCAAGCCAAACTCATGAAATTTCATATTTAAATATGCTTACCTCATAATTTTAAGTAAAAAAAAAAAAGCAAGCTGTAAAATAGCATATTATTACTATTTGGGTAAAATAACTTAAAAAACTGAAATAAATAAATATGCACACATATATATTTACATATGTGTGTATCTCTTTAGCAGGATATAAAAATAATACTATGAGTTTCCTGTGAGAAAAGGAATGCAGTATTAAGGAAGCAGAGGTGGGAGGTTTTTTTTCCAGCGTATATTCCTTTTTCTTTTTGAAATTTGAACCATGTAAATGTATTTCTTTTTCAAAATATAAGGCTAAAAAATATACCTACCTTAAAAAGCGTTCATATAAATGACCTGAAGCAACTGAAAAAATGTTTAGGACATCTTTTTCATTTTTGTCTTCTTTATGCAACCTTACTGTGAAACTTGGAATAAAAAAGTAATTGATATTTCTTAAATATACATAAGGAAACTTCGTATGCATAAATACTAAATACAAGCAATAAATACAGAAATGTATTTCAAAAGAATTATTCAAGTATAAATACTGTATATTTACAAATAAATTAATATTGAATTGACAATTAGTATCATTTGAAGCTTTATAAATTTTTTAAAAATTTGTAACATGGAATGTAATTGTTTCTAGGTTAATTGGCTGGTATTTTTGAATTTTGTGAGTTGCCAAAGGTTGTTTTGAGAACAAAGAGTGAATTACAGCCTGACACGGCAGTACCTAGTGTACTGAAACTTTAAACAGGCCAATAATGAAGATGAAACAGAATATGGAAGTGTGGAGCTATAGCACAGCAAGAATTTATGTAGTAACAGGGTAGGTGTGTGAGGGCTGCTGATGGGGCTCCCCAGGCTAAAATATTTTTAAACCACCTGCAACTTGGAGCTCCTCTGACCAAGCAGATTTTCTCCTCCATGCAGGGTATGGAGTACCCTCTTGGTACTCTGGATGACTTCCATGACAAAGAAGGCACCAGGGAGCCATGTCTACTCACTGGTTTATATCATGGTAGCTTCATCTGGGCCCAGTAGTCTTTTTCATTACATTTTTGGAGCTAGACCAGATCCATTTCATTTTTGTATAGGCCCATTTCATATGCAAAAATGAATCTTTTATCTGCAGTATTTAAAATGTATAAATCCATCTTTTTCTTCCTATTTAACATTTATTTAAAAATATTTTAGATATAAACAGATATTTAGAATGACTAAAATTTGTTCAACAACTTACAATCATCTTTAAAGGTATTTTGCCAAATATGAATTGTTATGACAGAAGTATTTTTCAAGTCTTATAATCCCCCAACTAAGAAAATAAGTTGATTCAATGGCAAGAAAAAATAATCATTCTAAGTTGGGACTAAAACTATGATGAAAAAAGTCAAAGCATCATAAGATGCACAATACTATGTATCTGGAGCAGTTAATGTCCCAAAAACTTACTGTTTCTAATGAAGCATTATTTTGCTTTTCTTTTTATATAGAAAGTGGTTATACCATAATTGAACAGTTATCTTTAAACATTCTTATTTCTATCTTCTAATTTTCATGGAAGCTTTTGGACAGATAATCTTAAAATTGCTCAGATTCTATTCTATTATCCCCTGTCAAACATACCTACCCTCCAAATCATCCCAGAACGAGTAGACTTGATTCTTTCTCTATCAGTAACTTGTTCAAAGCACATGCTGTGACAGCAACATGATTTTTCTTACCAAACAAGGAGTCAACTATAGAAAAAGAGGCTTAAACTGGGCAAAATCCAAAATGGTGGAAGTGCTTTTGACTGGAATAATCAAATACGTTTTAGTTGTTAAATCTATTTTGGCTAACATTTCTATTTCTTATCTTTGATCAAAATGATCAGTGGTTTGCCATCATAGTTCACATTAGGTTCAAATCTGTAAAATGGACATTCAAATTTCTTTACAATATGCATCTACAGGAGACAGCTTTTGTTTTTGCTCACCTAATATCTGTTCCGCTTCTACTAACAACCTGGTATTCTAGGGGGAATCATTCTTCCTCCCATATCATTCTATGAGGTTTAGGCGGGACAGGCCTTCCCACCAATTCTAGAAGTAGGCATGTGACTCCAGCTTGGTCATCAGTCACAGAAATCAGTTCAGTTTGGGACACACAGCTATAGCTAAAGCCATGAGTCAGCCTTGGAACTTTTGCTGGTACTGTTTGGAAAGAGACAACTTCCTTCCATCGGAGATAGTACACTTTTACTTTTAAAAGCCTCTCTTAGGCCAGGCACGGAGGCTCACGCCTGTAATCCCAGCACTTTGGGAGGCCGAGGCGGGCAGATCACGAGGTCAAGAGATCGAGACCATCCTGGCCAACACGGTGAAACCCCATCTCTACTAAAAATACAAAAAATAGCCAGGCATGGTGGCACGTGCTGGGAGGCTGAGGCAGAAGAATCACTTGAACTCAGGAGGCAGAGGTTGCAGTGAGCCGAGATTGTGCCACTGCACTCCAGCCTGGCGACAGAGCAAGACTCCATCTCAAAAAAAAAAAAAAAAAAAAAAAAGTCTATCTTAAAATGGAGGTGACACAGAAACAGTAGACCTAAGAGATGGAAAAAGACTATTTTCACACCACATCACCCAGTGGCCAATGCCAGGTGCACTTCTGGATTCTTTAGGTATCTGAGCCAATATATTCCTTATGTTTGTTTGTTGTTCAAGACAGGGTCTCACTCTGTCATCCAGGCTTGAGTGCAGTGGTATGATCTTGGCTTACTGCAACTTTGATCTCCCATACTCAAGCAATCCTTCCACCTCAGCCTTCTGAGTAACTCGAACTACAGACGTATGCCACTGTGACTGGATGATTTTTAAATATTTTGTAGATATGGGGTCTTGCTATGTTGCCCAGGCTACTCTTGAACTCCTGGGCTCAAGCAATCCTCCTGCCATAGCTTCTGAAAGTGCTAGGATTACAGGTGTGAGCCATTACTCCTGGCCTCTGTTCCTTTTTAAACAATAAAACTAATATAGGTCTCCATCTAACATAAAGATTCCCTATTATTTTCAAGTTGCACCTAGCTAGGCTACTTTCTTTTCTTTTTTTTTTTTTTTTTTTTTTTTTTTT